AATGCTACTTGGCACATTGTTGGGTAGTGGAGCCTTTTCCATTGGTAGCATGGTACATTTCAAAGGGTGTTGCGGCACTAAGTGTCAATTCTATTGGCCACAAGGCCAAATGGATGGACACATCGCCCTTTCGAATGAGCGCCAAGCCAAGAACGTTGAAAAAAGTCCCCACTGAATAGAAAAAAGGTGTAGTAGTATTGTATTGCAACGCATGGCCAATACAATTACTCCGGAGTATATTTGCTAAATATTTACTGTTAATTGTCTAATTGTCAAGTATTTAAATGCACAAGCCCCACGTCATGTGGGGCTTCAGGGCTACAGTACTCGAACGAATAAATCCACTTGGTGAATGTCCCAATTGTGGTTTGGCTTGCACACTCTGTCACATTGTTTCGCTTCGACCTATATGAATCATCATTCCGAGGTAGATAGAACAGGGGGAACCGTGATCTAATTGACGATGTGCTGGAGGCGCGGAGAGTCAGATCAGAGTGGAATGCGGCAACTGTGTATGGAATCAATCTCGGGGTTGTGAACTCCACCACCATTGGCGCGACTGTCGGCGAATTGTACGCTTCTGGAGCATTATGAACACATATGTACCAGTCATGTTTCCGCCCCCACGAATTACCTTGGTGGTGTACTGTTTTAACTTAGGCGATTCTTTCAAAGAGATAACGCTACTGTATGTAGTCATGCAAAACGATGATCGACTGATAATTACTTATACACGGAAACTATTAATATTATTCCGCTTCTCAAACACTTGCGGGGTTGGTACGATGTGTTGCTACAACACCACGACAGACGTCACGTCTTTGATCATGTCTTGCTGGACTTGGGTCCACCGCTGGATGCTCTCTCGAAGGAACGCTTCTTGTTGCTCCATGTACATGACGTTCGTGGCTCTGACATGCTTTCGCTGTTTCATGGTTTCGAGTTTGTGTGGTGGTGTTGACGGCATCACGGGTGCTTTCGGAGGCAGCGGCTGGAGGTGCTGGTCTCGCACGCGATTTCGAAAGATTTCTGCCAGCGACGTCTTGGACGGCAGATGTTTGTCTACGACGTTTGGTCCCTTTGGGCCCGTCCATAGTGTTGTTCCTGGTTTGTCCGTGCGGGGCTTTTTGTGGGGGTTAACATCGTCACACATCGCGGGGGAGGTTGGTGGAGGCGGCGTGCGCTTCTTCGAGTCCCTTGCTTTGCTCGATGTCACTTTTCCTTTTGGAGGAGTAAGGTCGGCCTTAGCCGGTGGCTTCATTTGCAGCGGTGGCGATTTCGACTTATCTAGTGTTTTGGTTGCTTTGACAGGCTTTTTGGGGGTTGGGGTGGCACCAACTCGAGGGCGGGATGGGTGGTTGTTCACTGAAACTGCAGGGATTATTGTGCTATCCTCCTGTTGTGGGTGTGTTGTGATGATGGGCCGTGGATTGGACTCGACGTTTGGCGGTGGGGACGGCGACGGCGTGAGAAGACGTCTGGACGTGCGGCGAGCTCCCCGTGATGGTGGTGGGGTGGTCGCACTTTGCTCAGCTACTAACGTCGGCTCTGACGGCAAAGGCACGTTGGAAAGGCCTCGAGTTTGAAGCTGCTTTGGTGATGACGTGGCGTTGTCAGAGCCCGATTCGTTTGCGATGGCCTCGATCATCGTGCGAGGAGAAACCCGAGACCGGGTTTTCGGAAGAGGCGCCGCAATCGGCGTGGCTTCCATGGACGTAGCTGGCGTTGCCGAGGACGCTTCCGACTCCTTCTTGGCCAAGTTCATGGTAGCATTTCTCGACTGTGATGGTGGCGTCGCTAGAGAAGTCGATTTGGAGGGAGCACTGCGTTCGACGTAGTTTGGATTCAACCGAAACAGATTTGAGCGCATCTTGGTGAGTTTTAAACTCTGCGCCGACACGGTGGCCGTCTTCACACGAGACCCGTGCGCCGCCACGGCCGACAGCGGCATCCATGCGTCGTATCGCTTATGCCAACCAGAGTAATGGATCTTCAGCAACCGTGCCGATGTGTTTACATCAATGACGCGTCCTTCGTTCCAGTGACCTCGGTCGTCCTACAGTCAAAATCAACAACCTCACTCGTTTAAAGTGGTACTCACTTTGCAATCAACCACGACGCCGATGCCCATGTACTTTTCCTCTTTCTTCTTTGAAGTCGAGGTCGTTGTTGACATCGTCGCCGACGATGATTTGGTATTCCCATGAGGAGTTAACGTCGTCGCCAAGCGCATGGACGTCCGCCGGCGACCGCTCGAGTTGACATCATCCACCTGCTGAGACGCATTCTCTCTACCAATTTGTGAGATTCAAGCGTCTTCATCCACTCATACGAACCTCGGGGACGGTTCTGGCGTTTGGTCTATAGCGGCGGTGCAGATGAGCATGCGAACAATATGCCGCGACGATGAAATGCTTCGAAAATGCCAAATGCGACGGTTCAAAAGATCTCTCATGATTAACCGGAAATAGGTGGTGTTATCCGAATTCCGAATATTTTTGCAAAGTCTCAAATAACCGTTACAATTCATTCATGAGTATAATTCCTATTTTCATTCTTAAACTAATATTTTAAATATTTGAATTAATAATGTTGAAAACAATTGAATTCAACAATAGTCATATTTTATAGCATTTTAAATATTTGTTTTGTCTTTATTTATTTATTGGAATAGGCGGTTCATCCTACTGAAGTACTTCAGAAGTATATTCGTGCACCAAATTGACAGGCAAGTTCGCAATGCGGCACAACGTACACTACGCAGCAGCCGTCAATCTATTGTAGCAAATATGAAGACACATGAAGTACATCATTTCAACGCCAAAGGCATATGCATATAGAGTGGTTCGTAGGTTTCGACTTGACTCAAACATTGTGGCAATACATTTGTATTCGTCTCGTGCAATGGTATACCAAGCCCATTCCATGACATTGATGGCAGTTCGACATGCGGTGTCATCATTGGTAGATCACAACAGCATGTTGGCATCGTACTTCATGGGAAGCGCTCGATGCAGTTTCGCGTGCTTGGCTGCATGGCAGCGGACTCGACTCGCATCACCCTGAATGCCGACCAATTTGCTTTCGCTCAGCATGATTGTCCACCAATGGTCAACGAGAGTCCCTATCTCGTTCACATTGATACTGTGGTCGTTGCGCAACAATTGATGTCTTTGTGATTGGTTAAAAGTATATTGCATTTAAGCCAATCACATATGAGTAACAACTGGATTCATGCGGTGTCATATCATTATTTCCACCACTTTATGCACTAATTTGCGACGGGAGTTCATTTAGGTGTTTTGCTGCTACATGTGATTGGACAAAATCCTTTTGAAAAAATGTAGAAAGCCGCCAACAGTTTTGCACAGTGCTACGAGGCCATCTTGCAACTATCAAGGGGCGACACCCCGGTTACCTTGTCTCGATCGCCTTGTACACAGGTAGCTACGAATGTAATCCTCTTCTACACCGATTTACATTGGCCACGCTCACACAGCCGTTCAAGGACCTCCTCGTATACGTCAAGCGCCATCGAAATCTCTCTGCAATCGCATTTCTCCGTCCACGGGAAGAATGACCTGTGTTTTCAATCCCACCGAACATGCATACACGTATATATATAATCATGACGGAGCGCAGCGGGACAGGCAAGTCTAACTCCTCCCGCCAAGGACTAGCTCGTGTCATGCTGTGCCAAAGACACTTGACGACGACAGGGACACGAAATATTGCAATAACGTCACTACTGTTGTAGTAACGTGTTCGATGGTCCTAACGTTATGTTAAAATACTCAATTCGTGCTTGCTTCAACGGCGACCATGATTGTCTAGACGACATCTGGCTGGCAGCAAAAGCGCTTGGTCACGCTTAGAAATGCAGCTTGGCCGTACGGAATGTAGGACAACGTGTACCATGACAACGCTCCAAATTGCACGAGCACGGAGAGCACGACAAGCCCGGACCGATGGGGGACGCTCGGAGAAAAACAAAGCGTGAGGGTGATTGCAATGAATCCCAAGTAGATCGCGGCGGCGACACGTCGCTTGGCATGAAACATCGACTGGCACTGCGACACAGGACCGACGAAGAACATCGTGCATCCAACGGACAATAGATTTCCCAACGTGTAACAGATCGCAAAGGGTGCTGGTCGACCAGCCACGAGCTGGCCAAGACGAGCGGTGGACCCAAACGACAGCATCATGCCGAGGAAGAAGCAAATGCCGCAGCCCAAGAGGCGCTCCTTGTACGACAATCGAAGCGACGGACATGATGCTTGGTAGTCTTGGTCATCGCTCAGAGCCACCGTTGGGGACGCAGGCTCATTGTTCCCATCCAATAGACGTTTCCCTTGTTGCTTGAACGACTCGTACATGCCGCTTCTCCCGGACTGCACTTCAGTCGCCGAACGTTGGAATTTTGTTCGAGATTTTAGTTATCCGGAGTCCGGATACCCAGATATCCAGTAATCATGACGCGAAACCGGTAAAGTAACGGGGGCAGCGGCCGTGAAACGGTTCATGTGTTGAACTACTGTAACGTAGACTTTTGCATTGAAGTGATGCCAAGGGACCAAGATGTACGCCGATGCTTTCAAAGTTTGTCCAAACACTTCGAAGCCGACGATGTGTACGCAGAATTCCAAGAGGAAGACGCTGAAGGCAGAGGCCGGCTCAAGCTAAAGTACTACCTGCTACTGGGGGATGTGTCATGCGCCAACGATTAACTGCCTACACTCTAGACACTTTGTTCAAGCATTGAGTTCTCTTCTGGGCAACTACAGCAGCATGTACGTGTGGCACCCTCCCCTTCCTCGTCCCTTCTTCAAATGAGTTGTCTCAACGTAATGGCCATGTCCAGCGACGTGAACCGCGTGGCCAAAGCGTTCGAACGTTCCAGCAAGATGGTCAACTACACGGAATTTTGCCACGAATTGCAGCAATACATGGAAGAGCACGCGAAATCCAAAGGCGAGTCGTCCGACGGTCCTACTACTGCTGGCAAATCACGACAAACAGGTCGCCAATCGTGCTCGACAGACGCGGCCACGGACGACCAAAGCGAGTCCAGTGACCACAGTCGGTCGCGCACCGGCAAGTCCAAACGGGCAGCCGACTCGGACGACTTGACCAAGCGCACGATACGTGTGGACCATCGCTTGGAGCAGCACCGTGTGCTCAAGGTACAAACGACCAAGTATGACTACGTGTATGCTAGACATTGAGAACGCTATGCTTATTGGTAGTCGTCGATTCGACAAAAGATCCTTCGCGGGGTGAGAAAGCCGGCCAAGGGGGGCTTTGACGGGGTTCGGGATCTACTGCTGACCCAGGACAGCGCAGGCGACGGGACCTTGGACGAGTCTGTCTTTGTGGGTACGCTGTCCTCTAGAGATTCCCAAGTTATCAGGATATTTATATTTTTAGACGCACTGTTGGGCCACATGAAGGCACGGCCGACCCAGAAAGAAATGGCGTACTTGACGGCCAATTTACGCAACAAGCGGCACCCGTCCCGCATCAACTATGAGCAAGTATGGGTTCTCTATACGATGATTTTTGAGTGTTTTTTTGACAGATGATGGTGTAGATTGGACATTTTCTAAGTGTGGACAGCGAAGAAGAAGCATCCACGTCTGGCGATGACGATCGGAATGACGTGGCAGCGACTCCGTCCGCCCGCCCCCGTGCTTGGGGGCCGCCGTCCCCCGCCAACAAGCGACAACTCGACCGGCCACATTTGGGCTCGGACGTGCTCACTGTCGAGCGCAACTTGAAGCAATTTATGACCCAACGCGTGCCGAAGGGCGGCGTAACTGCCACGTGTTGCCACGTTCCCAAGTCCATTTTCACAGGAGCCGAGAAGTTTGTCGAAGCGTGCGAGTTGTACGACCCCCTGGAAACCGGCGGGCTTTCCGAAGACGGTGAGTTCGTTCCTTTGTTCGTCCATTTCAACCGTCAAAATTGAGATATATATATATCGATGCATAATGACTAGGGTATGAAAAAGTGCTGGGTTTCTGCGGGGTAGCCGTCACGCCTGCACAGCTGCGGTCCGTGCTGTCTAAATTTACAAGGACATCCCAAGGCCTGGTTGGGATCGCAGCTTTTCTCGAGTATGTATATGCGTTACATACGATTCCATTTTAAACGACATGCGGTTGTGGATCAAGGCGATATGACCAGCACTTGGCCACGGTGAAGCACCGCCAGCACCTCAAGACGATTCTGCAGCGACTGGCCACCGACCCCGACCGCGACAACGCAGCGCTTTTGGCTCATTTTCGTCACCAGTTGGAGAAGTTAGACGCCCGCGTCACGGGGGTGCCCACCGGCGTCGTGTCCAAGAAAGGTCTTATCAAGACTATTTTCTGCAAAAGAATACATCAGTATAATAGTCGGGGTTCTGCAATATATATATATATATATATATATTGTACGAATTCATGGAGGGTGTAGATTTCTTGGCGTGCCTCACGAGCCACCACAGTCCGATGCGGTGGCCCAAACAAGACACGGAAGCGTGCTTGGCTTTGTTTATCGATCCTTCCAAAGCCTCAAAACACAAGGACATTCGCGTGGTGCACTACCCCGAGTTTCTTCGGTACAAACAACTCTACATACTCTGTCATAACTAAAGACTTATAAGAACATACTAAAGATTTATAAGACATAACTAAAGACTTATAAGACATAACTAAAGATTTATGACCGCAGGATGTTCCAAGAGTTGTGCATGTCGTCCAAGCCCGACGGCGTCCCCTGCCACTGCGCCGAGAACCTCTCGAACGTGTCCAATATGGACGCAATACACCAAAAACTGAGCGATTTCTTGCACGACGAGTCGCGGGGGGTGGGCACAAGGGGGCGCGACATTGCCGAACATGCCTTCGAAGCCGCCGACAAGATGCGTCACGGCGTGTCGGCGGCAGGGTACCTCGACGAGCGAGGTATGTACGCGTCTACTGATTGCCTTTTTACATTTTTCTCATGGTGTAGACTTCTTCACGGTGCTGCGATCGATCGGGATGGGGGTGTCGCCGGCGGAGAAGCAGCTGATTTTGCATGCACTGGCGCAAGCTGGGTACATCTCGATCGAGGGCGTTCAGTACTTGGCGTTTCTTCGGTACTTGCCCATTTTGAAGACTATACATATCATGCCTCGATATAATATTACTGCTTTCGCATTTGATGCGACTAGCCTATTTGACGCCACCCCCCCCAACTCCTCAAGTCGTCGTCGACGCAACCCCCCCGCGTCAATCGTCTTCCAGTCGTCATCGCTGGGCAACATGTGTGTGGGGGCGTACTTGGCCGAGCACGCCACGGCCGCCGAGCGCGGCCATTTCGATGCCATCATGACGACGCTCAAGGACTTGCCGCCCGGGGAAGCCATCGAGTCGACCGACCAGCTAGTGTACCACCTTGGGCCGACTTTGAAAGTGTCGGTGCAATTCTTTACGTGATAAATGCCATCAAAAAATATAAACACAGTGATGGGAGGGGTCTAGTTTTTCGTGGGAATTAAAACGACAATGCTCGCTGCCTGAGCAAACATTCGCGCTCATTATCGTCCGAGTGATGGCTATATCCGCGACTGCGCATGTACTCGCTTGAATGGCCGTCGGCAATTTGGCGAGAAATCACCGGACTAAACATAGACGGTGTCGACACGCTCACGAGCACGCGCTCCAGCACGTCCAATTCCTCGTCCTTGGGCGAATGCAGCCGGGACTGCCGGACCGCGACGACCGCCGCGGCGTCCCAGTCCACCCTGTACAACGCGACAGCTATGAGCACAAACTTGGTGGTTTCACCGAGGACGCTGCCGACCCACAGCCCCGCGAGGCCCCAGTGGCACACTATACCCAGCACGAACGACACGGGCAGGAGCACCACCCACGAGCCGGTGGCGGTGATGCAGAGCAGAATGTTAGCCATGCTCATGGCTTCGGCCACGCTAGCCAGCACGATGTGGAGCCCGGAGACCCCCACGGCGACCGCAAAGAGGGCGAAGGTCCGTGCAACCAGCGCCGTCAGGTCCGGATCCGGCGTGAAGAGGGCGATCAGCGGATACAAGAACAGGAAAAACAAACCGGCCGACCCAAACGCGGCGGCGCCCCCGAGTGCGAACCCGACGTACATGGTGCGCTTGGCGGCGTCCGGGCGGTTGGCGCCGAGGAAGTTGGCGACGCGGACCTGCGTGGGCAGCCCAAAGCCCCAGTAGATGCTGTACACGAGGTTCCACAGCATGTACAGCACGCTGTTGGCGGCCATGTCGAGCGAGCCGAGGGAGCTAGCGATCGCCGTCACGACCGAGTAGATCCACTCGTCCAATGCGACGTTTAGCGTCATGGCCATGGACAGCCAGAGGAAGCGGCGGACGCGGTCTGGCCGGAGGCACGCCCACGTCCATCCAAACCACGTCTTTTCGTGGTATCGCTTGAACCAACATGCATACAGAAACAACGCGACCGGCTGGAACGCATCGGCGACGAACTGCGCCAGGGGAGACCCCACGAAGCCGAACTCGAGGTAGAAGATGAACAAGTAGTTGGCCGCGATGCAGATGGGCACGCTGAGAAAGCTCACGACGGTGCCAGGGGCGATTATCTCCTGGGCCTGCAAGTACTGCCTACAACACACCCAATTGAGTACTACCAACGAGTACTACGTAATCATGAATGGGGAGTGGCCAGTAGTTAGTACCTGAGCGCACAATTGACGCACTGCGGCCACACGCTAAGCACGGAATACCGGCAGAAGACGGTCGCGAGTGCCAGCGTCTCAGCGTCGCTGGAGAGCATCGCCAGCATTGGCCCAACGTACAAGAATGACAGGCCCATCGCAATCGAGATGACACTCAATGTCACGACGCCCAGCTGGAACCAAATGCCCACGAGTTCATAATTGCGGGCACCGTATGCTTGTCCGCATAATGTGCACAGGGACACCGAGAAGCCATAGATGAAGATTTGCAACGCCGACACCCAAATGTTGGCTAGCGCACTTGCCGCCAATTCCTTGGAGCCCAAATGACCCAGGAAACCGGCGGTGATGGCTGGCAGGAGAGTGCGGCACAGTGTGGCCAGACTTACCTTCCATGCCATCTTGGATATGGCTGCAGCTTCCGCCGAGTACGTCGATAACGCATGTTGAACCATGCCTAGCATTCGCTCGTGGAACGATTCCGACTTAGGCGAAGGCGCGTCGCTCCCGTCAGACGACGTCGACGACGCTGTGTGTGGAGATTCCAACGATTTTATCGAACAGCTTTCGCGCTTCGGGGCCTGCAGGCGCAGAGAGATTGGGCTGGACGGCAACGGTGGTGACGGTGGCATGGTTGAAGGCTTGCTAACGTTATGTGGCATTTCGAACGGGGAAATCTAAAAGTCCTTATAAAGTACGATTATGGGACCGAAATTAATTCGGTCAAAATGATATGGTGTGCTCGGATTTTTCAAACAAAATACATCGAACCTAATTTGACAATTTGGAGGTTTCTGATCTCAGCCAATCAGATTTTGCGTCAGATCTTCGGCTGGTTTATATACACCACAACTGTGGTCTGTCAGTCGTTGGACTAACTACTAATAGTAGTATTATCCTTTGGTTGTACTGTCGTATACTAGCACACTTTTGAGTAGCTAAAGGCGAGTAGTATATAGGGTCAAACAATGATTTGATCAGTGTGTGGTGTGCGTGGCAAAGAAATACAGTATGAATCGAAAATGTCAGTTCGACTGTAAATCCACAAATCCGTTCGAATTCTGATTTGACATACATTCACGATTGGATGGATAAAACTACGTTTTAACGTTTAACGCGTGGAGTTCTGCAAGCACAAAGCTGCGTTTTAACGTTTAACGCTATGCGTTCTTACGGCGACCACGGACTGTTAACGTTAACGTAAAGAAGTTTTCAGGATGCACGAAATTGGGTTTTGGCGTAAATACAACGACGACGCGGGTGACGTGAGGCCGCACCCTCAGTCACTCCAAGACAAAGCATGGTATGACAGACGTGCGGACATGGCGGCAAAGGTGATCTGGTACGTGCGTCATGCTGGCTTTGTGGAATCGTACGAGATGGGATACAGCTTCTGTCGCATTGATTCCTCATGCTCGTCCAAGGCCCTTGGAGCGTGCACCATGACAGACGGTATGTACTGCTGGCCCGAAGGTTACGTGCACTACCTGGAACAGCATCACGTGGTCCCTCCCGCCGACTTCGTCGAGCATGTCCTTCAGCACGTCGCCGCCGCAGTCGCCCGACCTCCGACGCCATTTCTTGTCATGTGGGACTACGAGTCTCGCGGTCCCGTGCCGATGCCTCCCACGATGCAACACATGATCCTTGCCAACACCACGCTCACGATCGGTCAGCCCCAGCAGGCCCAGCAGCAGGCGTCGTGTGCATTATCCTGACCAAACACAACACCATATACGAATGTCGATGTCATTCCTTAGTGCAGAAATTCTGGTGTTGTCGAAGGGCCCTATGGTCTTCGAACGTCTTGGAACAGGTCCCACAGGGAACTTTTTCCACTAGGATGGGTTGCAGGGTCGTCCAGTGGCCGTCCAAATCGGCTTGCGACTCAAACGAGTCGCGGCAGATTGCACACACATTGGCTTCAGTTGGCAATAACGACGTTCGCTTTGGATGATGGTTTTGATGCCAGTCGGGGCGTATGGTGCTGTCCTTGCCATGCTTGGCTAGGCGGTGCTGGGTCAGTGCTTCCTCGTCGGCAAACTCACGGCCGTGGCACGCCGCGCACGAGAACGTCGAGTCGGGTCTCTTGCGCTTCAAGTTGAGTTCGTGCACCATGCGCATGTGTGTCTTGTGGCCTTGCAGCGTCGCAAAGCGCTTCCCGCCGCACTCGTCGCATGCAAATTCCCACTCGGGGTTGCCCAACGACACTACGCCTGGTGGCCCACGCGGCGCCGCAGTCGGTGGTGGCAGGATGCTAGTGGACGCGACCCCACGACCAAAACGAAAGAGCGTGCTTTCCTGCTGCAGCTTGGCGCCATGAAGCAGCACGTGGTGGAAACTCTTGTCGCTCTGATGACGCTTGCGCGTGTAGCCTTTCGGCGGCGTCCACACCGACTGCATGAGGCACGTCAACGACGCCGCCGACGCCCGCGACAAGATTTCCCATCGATCAGGTTGATCTCTGGCCAATGTGACGTAAATGAAGCCGTGGGGATTGAGCACTTGCAGCGCGGCGTGGAAGAAATGTGACAGGAGGCGGCGATGGCGATGGACGTCTTCGACGCCAGTGTGCGGATGGTGGAATACAATGCGATCGAAATGGAGCGCATTGGCAAAGGACGAAAGGTTTGTCGCGTCGACTTCATGTCGCACGTTGACGTTGATGAAGGGAGCGGATGTCGTGGTCAACGCCTCGATGTTGGACGCGGCCATGGCGTACTTGTCCACGAGGGATGCCAACGAGTCGTATGTCGTGGCCGTGAGATCCATGGACGCTGCGCCATTGACATCCAAATCTGTCCAGTTGTCCTTCTCCAGCAGGGATCGGGAGTACGAAAGGTCGCCATCGCCTACCGTCAGCACTCGCAGGCATTCCGGTACATGTACCGCTCCATCCATGACGATTGGTTCAACTGGCATGCAATTCAAAAACTTCCGTAAAGTGAGTAGAAAATACCCAATGTTTCGTTCATTGTCGATAAAAATATTTGAATAATTGCCAATTTTTGGCCACCGCCTCTCAACTAAAAACCGACGTGAGGATGCTTCTTCGACGGCCACTTCATGTGGCTTCTCGCGTTGGTCACGTAGTTCCTCCGTGGCATCATCAATCTGCACTTCGCCCTTCTCACGTTCGCGCCAGCATGAGGCACTCCCGCGGCCGCCTTCCAGTGCGAAATCCACCCGTCCTGCATCGACAGGCAGATGCCGGCGCTGCCGGGCTTGGCCTCATTGCAGGCGGCATCGTCGTCACGAATGCCACGTCCATCGACGTGCATTCGATGTCCATCGTTGATCTCCTGACAGATTCCTTCGCCATGGTGTCTGCCAACGTGCAAAACCACGTACGTCCTAGTCTTGTCATGACATCATTCCAATCCTCGTCATCATGCACGTTGTCATCAGTGGGACGACGACAACCGCCGCCTCCTCATGGCCTTGATCGCCACCAACACAGCTGTGTTTGGCATGTGGAAGGTCTCGCAGCGGCATGCTGGCCTTGCCAAGTTCATGTGGACGCACTTCGCGTGCTCATTCCACGGCGTAGCTACAGAGAGGCGCGTCCATACGTTGGTCACGTCCGCATTCAGCCACCAGACGCCTTTGCATTTTGGCATCAACATGTTCATGCTGTGGCACTTTGGGTCGGCCGTGCTCCCGCCGAGTAACCACGACGCTTCTTCCTTCCGCCGCCGCCAACCCATCCAAGGCGGCACATCATCTTGGCTGCCGTCGTCGATGGCCAAGCAGCACCGCTACGTTGTCCACGAACCTCGAACGTTGGACAGTCGTGAATTCGCCAAGATCTACGCTACGAGTGCAATTGCTTCGTCCGTGCTCAGTGCCGTGGTGTCGGGGCTGCGAGGCATGGGCCACGGTACGGCTATTCATATTGTGTTCAGGAAATCATCATGGTCATGATACATAGTGTATTCGATTGGTGCCAGCGGTGCAGTGTTTGGCGTTTTGACTGCTTACTGCATCATGCATCCGGAACGAGAGGTATATATATACAAAGATTGTCACGAATGATATATTGGTCATGATGTGTGGTGAGTAGCTACTGCTGTACGGCGTCCTGCCCCTCACCGCAGACGAAATGCTCAAGCTGTCCGTAGCAGTGAATGGCGTCGGGTCGGTGTTTCAGCACGCCCAACACCGAGCGTTGGCCGCGCTTGTCCCCAATGTCGACTTTGTCGGACATTTGGGAGGTCAAGCAGCGGCGTACGCGATACTTCCCAAGTAAACACACCCATGAAACGACGTGGAAGTTGTATTCAGTGACTTGGGCGGCAGACATGATGTGTTCAAAGTGTCAGGTTATTTGAAATCATAGCAATGCCGACAAATTGAATTGAACGATTCACACACATGATGATTGGCATAGTAACCAAAACGGTGTCGATGTCACATCGTTACTTCATACTCCAGTATTACTATAAATAGGAATATTAATATTACTATTAATAGTATATACTACTAGGTACTACGTAGTACTATTATAGTAATACAGTAGTTATCGAAATTACTAGTACTACTAGTAGATGAAAGCGAGCAGATATGCCCTTGTTTACATCCACTCCCACTCCTGATCGTCGCTTGTATTCATTAGTGTCTACCACTTCGGCATCCACTCACCATATATATATGTCTGTCGTAGCCCAACAGCATCGCATATTCATAACCTACTTGTAGCCAAAGATGAAGAAACCCAGTACTACGTTTAGCTCGACTAGAGTACATAGTAGAAGGGCAGGGTACTACTCATTGAACAGCTACGCAATGGGTTGTTCTGTGTTTATTGTTGGATTACAAAATACACGCTTGCTTGAACACCTTCAACGGCACGCCCTTGGTCATAAGGCGGAGGAACACGACGTCCTTGTCCGAGTATTTGCTTTGTCGAAAGTTGATCGCGTGAAAGTAGTCGACCAAACTCGTCAGCTCTTGCGGCGTGTACGGGTGCAACAGCTTGCGCACTCGCTTGTACGACGCCTACGGTACTCCCATGAACAAGCAACTCTCAACTATCATCATGCAGTAACACACAAACCTGCTTGGAAAAGTCATATTTCGTCGGGTAATTCTCCGTCGTGGCCGCGATAAACAACCCGTTTGCGAGCTTGCGGTCGGCGCGGTACCCGGACGCATCCACGTCACGCAGGGCATCGATGACCGTGATGTCCTCGGCCTTGACGGGCACCCCTTCGTACCCAAACACTGTCTTCTGGAACCACGCGTTGTACTCGTCAATGGCAATCAGCACGGGAAACTCGGTCACTTGGGCCAGCTCCGCCTTGAGGTCCACCACCGCTTTGCACGTGAGCAGGTCGTCTTTGAGCCCGCTTTCGCAAATGTCGAGCAGCGTCAAGTCGGACTTGTTGTATTCCGACGCGCTCTACATAAAAAGCGATAAGTTGTGATCGGCCCGTCGGTTGCACGTAGGTACAACATACCTTAGGCTTCTTGACAAACGAGCGCGGGTAGTACGCATCGCCATAGTCGCCACGGAGAGGCAGCGATGCCAATTGCGTGCCGTTGCATTGAATCAACTACGAATGAACCAAGAACAAGTGAGCATGGTGTGTGTATGTCTCCTCGAGCAACGAACCTGCTTCAAGATGTCGGCGCCGACCACGTCAATGTCAAACTTGCCTTCGTGGAAGGCAGACTTGGTCACATATGGAGCTTCGTGGATCCACGCCCGGGCGTGAGGCACATGCAGCACGATCCAGCCGTTTTCACGGGCAAAGTTGACGATTTGGATCAACGACACACTAACAAACATGGTGATGAGGGGCGCTAGGTAGACAAGGCGGCTCACGTTTTGCCGGTGCCGCGCTCGCCATCCAAGACGAAGGCCTTCTCGGGCCATCGTTCCGGCCAGCTTTCGGGAAAGTCTACGCCATGCACCATATCTCAGTTGCATGAAAACGCACAGGGAAGGTGTATGTATATGTATGGCTTACTGGACATGGCAGACAAAATGGTGGCCACAGGCTTACGCAGCATGAAGTGCTTGTTCGGTTCCACCAGTTCAAACAGTTCCTTGATACGCTTGGGAAGGCTACGAGGACAACACATCGCGATGATTGAATACGACGATCGGCGGGTTTGAGGTCACCACGTACCCTGCAGGAAAGTTCTTCTTGATCTGTTCGTCCGTCAAGGCGAAAAACTTGTTGACGTCCGTGTCTTTGTTTGCCTACAAACATGACGCGACTGTGAGGCTTTGCACGGGCGAACATAGCTGCATTTGCATTTACCTTGGAGATGCAGTGCTCGGCAATGACATTCGTCGAGGTGGGACCTGTAGCGGCGGTATCAGCGGCAGCGGGGGCAGCAGCAGGAGCTTCCGTGGAGAAGGCCGCGCGAGCCACGAGGCGCGCAGGGCGGCGGGTCAGGATTTTCGACAGCATCTTCTGAAAGCCAAGTACGCCACCAATTGTGCAAGGCAACCACCATCCGCGTTCCACGTATCTCATTGGTCAATTAGTTGAGCTCCTAAGTACGGCTAAACTGTGTTCTTTTAAGTACGTTTTAGTACCTGCATTTGGATTGGTTATTTGATCACGATACTGCACGTTGATTGGTCCATTCATAGCAGCAATTTGCAAACCACCAACACGAGCGAACAATTCAATTACACAGTCACTTGTTGCCATGTCCGAGCGCTTCCGTCCAACGATGCGGTGAGCACATACTGCTGTGGCGGCTCCACGATGCGCTCAATCAAGATAACGTAATGATCGCGACACTTCTTTGCGCTCAATACACGCACGAATGGGTCGATTCGGAACACAGGGGACGTCTCCACTGCGCCTAGCACGACTATGGACAAGGCGTCGAGGTCTTGGTCACTCGACACATCGAACCATTGTGGCATTGTGCACGAAGTAGTTCCCGGGGTCCACAACAAGTTGTCCTCCTTGGGGTTTCGACAGGCAGTGTCCAAGGGAGACCCCCACGGCATGAACGCCAGAGGCAATAGCCCTCTATCGCAATGCAGTCCTTCAGCGCACGCTCCAAGGGCGCCACACCACCCACCGCACTTGTCACCCGTCTGAAGCTCTGTCGGTGCCTGCGGCAGATCATGCGGGTCGCATTCATATGAATCAGCTTGGAAGGAAAGGCTTAGCGCTGTCCAAAGCGCCGCCAACAGCCGCGGCCTCATATTGGGTTTTTAACGACCGGTAACATAGGGACGTTAAACCAAAGCGTTAAAGTAATTGGCAAAACCTGCTTATCTGTACTAGTAGTGATCTAAAACGTAATACGTTTTATGTTTAACGTGTATACGAAACACGTGGGATTATTATCCAATCCTGCAACCGCACACGAAACTGCAAAAACCTCACGACACATGCATCGTCTGGCAGTCGCCGTGCCGCGCCGCCATGGCGGTGGCCTACGATGTCGACCTCGGCGCTATTTTAGTCATGACAAGAAATCAGGCCATGCTTCAGGGCACCTGCCTCCTCCTCCTCCCATCCATGTTTTCCCACCCCATCCCACCGTGCCAGCGGACATCGTGAACGCCTCGCACCAGCAACTCCAGCAACTGTACCTCAGCATGCAAGACAAGCCCTGGGTACCAACTACATCCGTCTTGATTCACCTAGCTAAGCGCATGATGCGGTAGAACATGTGGGGATTGGGTATTCTTGGCGTCGGGGCGTTGGGCATGATTGCGTTTGGTCCGGAAATGCGCAGCAAGATGACCAAAACGACCGCCGAAGTCGCGACCGAAACCCTTCAAAACGAATCGCTCCAGATCCAAACCCAGGTACTTTAACCATCCAACACTACTGCGCTGTTCCAACGTCACTAAGTGCTCGACCAGGAACTAGCGTCTCAGATCGTGCAAACCGTGCTCAACGACCCAAAAGTGCTGGACCAGGCATCGCAGTTCCTTCAAAAGGTAACCCATCCACCTACGTGCCTTCCACGACCTCTCTAATCCTCGTCTTCTTCCAGCTCATGGCCACGGAAGCCACGCGCGGTGCCGTGGTGCAACTGACCAGCAACGTCCTGAACGACCCGCAAACGCTGGCGCATGTCACCAAGCTGTCCAAGCAGATCCTGTTCAACCTCTTCCAGGTCCTACACTTCACACTACCCCCAATAAACCTATTCACTTTGCTTTGGTGGTAGGACCCCACGACACTTCGCCAGTTCGTGGACCTGATCAAGGCGGCGATCGTAGACCCCACAACGCGCGCCAACGTGATTCTGCTGCTGGACCAACTCATGAAGGACGAGCCGACGCGGGCGCGACTCACGGCGCTCATGGCGTGGACGTTTGTGCAGCCCCCCGTGCAGCGAGGCGTCGCGACCACCATGACCGCGTCCGTGCACAACCTCATGAGCAACCCGGACGTCCAGGACCACGCCAAAGAGTTCATCGGCGGCGTCGTGCGCGACGAGACTGTGCAGACGCAGAGCGGCGAGGCGCTGTGGAAGACGCTCATGTACGTGCTTACCCCCACGTGGGTATCTTGGTTCTGGAGGTCGCCACCCCCGCCGCCTAGAGCAGCAGCGGCCGTCGTCGAAACACCATCGACCACCACCCACCACCCACCGCCTCCATCAGTGCACGTCGAATAGTATTGATTGGGTATGTGTATGTGGTGAATACCATTTTGGGGTGTGATTGATTGGGTCTGTACTGATATATACCGTCTCCAAGATAACGTTATCGCAGAGAATAGCAAGAGGATTCAACATGGGCAATAACATGTAAAATTGACAATATCCATTAACGTTAGAGCCAAAACCCAACCACCTCGCCGCATATGCATGTCGTGGAGACCTAGTATTTTGATAGAACTGAGACAGAGTGTACATTGCATAATATTAATATATATATCAAAACGGCATGAAATTGAAGTATTACCTTTTGCTTGGAATCTTCCCGACGCAGGACTTTGGACGGAATCACGGCGGCTTCCTGGCGCCAGCATCATCGTATAGATGGGAGGATGGTTGGATGGGAGATATGTACATATCGTACATTGCATTGGGGACACGCCACTTCGATGGACTCGACTCGTTGCAAGTTGCGTTGCACGGACAACAGGTTGAAATTGTCCACAAAGGTCGAGTCTGCCTCGCCTTGCTTGGGATACGACGTGTCCACGACTTCGTCGGTGTCGATTGGATTGTCTTCACCATAACCACCAAGGTCGTCGTCACCAGGGTCGTCCTTGTCGTCCTCGCCTGGTTAGTACAAGTGAGAACCTCCAAGTTGAGCCGAGTCGCCGTACATACATAAACTAAGGCGTATGCTCAAACACATGGCTCGGTGGCGCCGTGCATCCCGCAGAACGCAGTCATTCGAACAGTAGAACGTATCGCCGCACTGATCCACACACGGGATGGTCGCCAGCGAGTCGTCGCAGTGGGCGCAGGACTGCGCCGCGTGCTGCATCTCCTGTCGCTTCTTTCGATTCTGGGCATTAAAGCCCTCTTGCAGCTGGTCCAGGAGACGGTCATCTTCGACTTCGCTCGCGCTCTTGGCGATCATGCCACCAGATCCCCATCGAAACATTCTCCGTACTGTAGCTACGTACTTTGATGCCGAAATGCCACCGAAACTTGCGTGAGAAAAAACAGGGTGATTGTGTGAGTAATAATTCATTGCCAAATTTTGAAAACTTCGAAGTACCAGAAATTATTACCAAATTATTCGAGGAATTTCGACAGAAAGTTCAAGTTTCTCTTAAATTCTTAAACTTCTTGTGAATTTCCTTCAAATTTCGCTGAACCTCTCCGCAACATTTGATTGGACAAGAATTTTCAGATCAACCAATCAATGGTCGTAGCGAGTTTCGATTGTCCGGATATTGGTACGGAATCTACGATACATCTAATGCATCTTATTGGCCATATGGATGGAACTATGGAAGTTTCCATTGGATAGAATCTGTTCAGTTTTGGCCAATCCAATTCGTCATCAAGTGGTGTGGCAATTATGAAATGCTTGAAAAGGCGGCGAAAATGAAGCACCGCATTTGGCGCGCAGTGGAGCGACAATTGGCGATGGAGCCAGCCAAGCGACACCCGATGATTCAGTCGACACTGAAAGCTGCCACATGGGTATATGCACACGTCAGTTCGCAGAAGCGGTTGCGGCAGTTGGCTCGCCGACGAACGCTGCCAGTGCCGACGATTAGTTTTGGCAACGTCACTTGGGGAGGCACTGGCAAGACCCCTTGCTTGCACCACGTAGCTCGCATGATCAACTCCAACGGTCACACGCTTCTTCTTGTCTCTCGCGTACGTACGTACGTGCACAATGGTGAACGGAGCTAACGCTTGAAACGTAGGGCTATGGCGATGACGAATGGAAGATGTTTGCAGCCGAATTTCCGCACAGTCTGCTCGCGATTGGCAAGCATCGCTACTGGAACGCCATGGCCCAGTTGACTAGCCTCAGCAGCCCAGGGAGATTTGAAGTGTACATGCGAAACGCTGTTAACCATCAATCCATGGAGTCCAGGACTCCAGACGAAGCTACCAACACGAACGACATGTCCGATTCTTCCCATCCACATGTGGTAGCTTTGCTTGACGACGGGTTGCAGCAATGGGGGCTGAAGAAAGACTTGGAGATTGTCATGGTGGACTGCTACAACCCGTTTGGCAACGGCCACCTCATCCCGTCCGGTCGGTTGCGCGAGCTGCCCGAAGTGGCCCTCCCCGCTGCCGACATTGTCGTGCTGCATCATGCCAGTCATTTAGAAGGGCCAGCTCTCATGCAGCTTGAGTCTGCCATTCAATCGTACGTTGTTTAACTGGTGAGTCCCATATAGCTCTATTATCACAAATCTTATGGTTAGCATGGCTCGACCTGACACGATCGTCGCACACTCTCGCATGCGACTCACAAGTCTCCCTCTGGCCAAACAGTTGCACCAACACTTGCATTCCCGGCACCAGCTCAAGCTTACGTTGCCCAGCAACGCCCCCAGCAACGAGTTGGTCGTGGGATTGTGTGGGATTGGATGCCCCCAGTCGTTTCGCGATACCCTCCGACAAGCCTTCCCCCACCGCAACGTCCAAATGCATGCCTTTCCAGACCATCATGCGTACACCGCAGCCGACTTGACGCCGATTGTCGACGCCGTGCGCAACTCTGGGCGTCCGGTGGTCGTAGTCACGACAGAGAAGGACTACTTCCGGGCGAAGGACCTCCTGGACGACCACCTCCCGAGCCTCCGCGTGGCGCTGTGCGAGCTGGAGTTTATTCGTGGCGGAGAGTTGATCAAACAACGAGTGGATCGCTTGTTAAAGGACGACTAACGACATGGACAATTCATACGCAAACCAAAGTATTACCTCAGTACAGTATACTAACCTTTTTGCAGTTAAGCTGGACATATGCCCGATATATTTTTTGGCGGTGTGCCCGATATAATTGGCCATGTGCCCGTTTAATTTGGCACACCGAGGTCGTGTGACCTCGGTATGCCAAATTAAACGGGCACATGGTAAATTATATCTGGCATACCGCCAAATATATCGGGCATTCGTCCAACTTAACTGCAAAATGGTGTACTAGGGTAGTACATTTTATGGAGTATAGTACTGTGAAAGCGCGGAAAGAGCCAATCCGATCCACCCGAAAATGGATTAACCAATAGGGTAACGACGTGGTCTGGAACTATGATAGTACCGGAATCAGAACCCCAAAGTCGTATTCACGCCAAGTGTAAATCTGAATTCGCCTTGATAATTACATGAAAATCGTGTCAAATGATGTGTGAATGAGCGTGTTCATGGTGTTGCTCAGGTCAGAAACAGACTCGACGGTCTTGGCATCCATAAACGCGACGAGTTCCCGCTCGAGGCTGCCCGACCGCCGCACGATGATCCATCCATCGGCACTTGTCTTGGTGAAGATGTCCATGATTTGGTCGTCGCTAGGGAGATAGATACACATGTATATATCTATTCAAAAGCACATTGGACATGTATTACACGTACGACTCCAAATCGTAGCGAACGACGTTCAACGACTCAAGTAACCGCGGCGGAAAGCACGACGCCATTAGAATCGGCGGCACTGGGCCCTATAATATAAATATCTCCATTTCAACCATGCAATCCCTTACTATATTAAATCCTATAAAAGATACCTTGAATTTGCCAACGTTGTGCAGTTGCGTTTGCTTGGTCAGCCGATTTACATGGATAAAGGCGCTGTACGATATCAACAACATCATGACGTAAGCGCACACACTGGACGGTAGCATGAATGTCCACAGCGCTGCTTCACCTGGATGAAACTTGGTGGCCATGACGAGGTGGATTAGCGTCGGTCAACGCTCCAACGTGCACGCAGTGACGTAAGTAGTTACCCACGTCGGCAACCAGAGCTAAACCCCAGAATATTATGATCCAAATAGCGAAAAACATTTGATTGAAAGGAACAAGTCGCACATGAAGAATTGGCTTGGGATTGGACGCACAGCAGCAGCGTGCACGGTGCATCCTACCACCACCACCAAAATCAACCCCATGGAGTTGGGCACAGATATATATACAGTATATATATATACTACTACAGCGATATAATATATATATATATAAATACTACTACAGCGATATAATATATATATAAATACTACTACAGCAATATACAGTATATATATATACTACGACAGCAATATAATATATATATATATACTACTACAGCAATATAATATATATATATATATATACTACTACAGCGATATAATATATACTATTCCAAGATACGTACGTGCCACACGATCAAATCTGCAGTCGACTTAACGTCGGTGGAGTCGAAAAATAGCGGCAGTCGCCACAGTTTGTCGGGCGCAATGTCCGCATCAAACCTGCCGTCGGCGGCTTGGAAGCCTCGGGCGGCGGCGGCGGTGGTGTCGTCCTTGGCACTTGAGGACGACGACGAGATGGCGTCGACGAATAAATCCCTGGCGCTACATATCAAAAAAGGTAAATACCAACAAATAGTGTTGTGTTTTACTTTAACATCTAAACTGGGTATTCGACACTACCAAATGTACACAAGAATCGGCAAAAGAATGTAGCCAATACTATGTAGTAAGCAGATTGTACGAACTCGTCACCCACTCCTTGAGTGAGTGGATGACTTTAATTAGTGTGATTCCAATCGCCACCGCATTCGTGTATGACGTTAATTAGTGTGGTTACTACTATCAGGGCAACAATAGTACAAAATTCAAGACAAACAATCGATCAAGGATAATAGAGGTGGCAAATCCACACCAAAAGTCCAACTGGTGGGTAATAGGACCAAATAAAGTGGGTAATAGGACCAAATAAAGTGGGTAATAGGACCAAATAAAGTGGGTAATAGGACTAAATATAGTGGGTAATAGACTAATTAACCTCGTGCGTTTCTTGGGGGGGAGGAGGCCGCCGTCGACGTACGTTTGCTTGGACGCCCAAATCGAACGCTGCGCCGAATTCGACTGTAACCACGGCGGCGTGACCTCCCTTGGATGTTTGGTCGACTGATGGGGCAGAACAGCTTGCTGCTCTCGAAGACGGAGAAATCTGTACACTAATTGCAGTTGTGTGGCATCCCAACTTCCGCCACTGACTAGCTGGCCTGACCGACCACAGGTTGCATGAGCAATATATAATGCTGTTGGTTGCACCGCTACAAATATATATATATATATATATCACCATGGTCGAACGAAGCGCAGTGCATGACGGCGGGCACGTCGGACCGCAACGAGTGGGCTAACATGTGTGCCGCCATCTGCTGCATCGAGTCGGCTGGAGCGGGGGGGATGCCTACGCGTTTTCGTAGGTAGTTGTTTGATGGCCTTTATTTCATCTAGAAGTGTTCAACGTTACCATCCATGGCATGCATGCAATTGAGGTGCTTCACGTCGAGATTGCGCAGGTAGATGGGAAAGAAGTTTCCCATCACGGCTTGAAGCCGAGGCACGGGCGACGCCGCGACGAGGGTGGACGCCCACGACGAGAGGTCGGCCAAGGCGAGCGTTGCGGCAGTGCAGTCGTGGGTGTCTGGATCGTGTTGGATTTTGAATATCAACCTGAACATGTAAGACTGTGGTACAGTAGGTTGGTTCTTCGAAGCATGTGGACGTACTGTGCCGTCTTGCGCATCTTTTTTCGACAGGAGGCGAGTTCTACGAGCACATCCAAGCCAGAATGCAGGCCAGCATCTACAAGAGACCGAGGAAGGTCTACAGAGTAGTACTCCATGGATGCTGCTTGAAGCAACCTAGATATGTGGCTAGTTTAGGATTTGCACGACAGATCATTCGGTTGAGATAGTACCAGGCAATCCCGCCATGCAGTAGGCGGAAGGATGCGTACATGTCTCGCAAGACAGTTTCCATGATGTACTTGTCCGTGTCCTGTATTGGTTCAGTCATCCAGCAGCAGCACGTGACTTGGTTTGAGGTTGTGGGTACCTGAGCAGTGGCATGGCCCTAGTCGTGAATGGTGAGCATGTACATCGAAAGGCAACAATCATACGTACAAGAGCAATCCACACTTTGGGCTCCACTCGCTCGAAGCAGTAGTGCATGTTTGTGAGCTGCACATGCGTCACGGTTGTCGGCGACGAGGAGAATCTCGACGAAAACGCGTACACCCCTTGCAGCAGTTGCAGAACACGCAATTGCTCTTGCATCGACTTGGGCGGCCAGCAGTACAACATGCGGGCAAACGATTCCTCCTCCGTCGCGGCATCGTCGTCACTTCCCAGATCTTCATGCCACACCACTACCTCCATCGTCATGCTTCGCAGTTTTCAGATCTCTGTTGTACTTTTAGTAGTCGAAGATATTTACTTCGAAGTTCTACCGGATAATTATACTATTACAATACTGTATCGCATCCGGATGATAATCGGAAAAACATTCCTGCCCAATCAGAGAATTAAAAATGCGCTTCGAATACACTATCTGCCCAATCACAAATTAGCAAGCCCAAATGCAGGTAACACTAACAACGAGTTTGATCTTTTGCAGATAAGTGACAATATTTTACGAGATTCCAGCACGTCGTCATGCACCGCAACACTGAAGCCGTCAACGCCGTGTGCCCACGAGAGCGCGGTTGCAACGCCAGCTCACATGTGTCGTCAAAGCGTGTGCTTGTCACACATGACTAGCGCGATCGTCGGGCCGCCTACTGGCAGGGGTCGAAAGTACGCATATTATATGTATGTTGTAGCTACTCAGTGCATACATAATGCATCATCTTTGCAAAAGACTGAAATACATTAGGGCCCGTCTGGATACCACTTTTATTGAGAAATATCGCGATAATTTTGCAAAATATTCAAAAATCTCAGCGACTTCAATTTGGCGTGTCTGGATGCCATTTCTTGACCAAGTTATATTCCATAATTTTATCAGAGATATCGTGAAAACCACAAGAAATAATATTCTACTCATGAGTAGAATATTTTGACGATATTGACAGTGTGCGTTGAATTGACTGGGCATTTCGGACCACCCAAAATCATTCTTGGATCTTGAAACCCAAGAATTTCCTGCAATGTCGAAAAATGTTTTTTATTCAATATTCCAATATCCCATAATATTGGTGGGTGGCATCCAGACGGCCCATATGCATATTATGCAATATATGTGCATTAATGCACATATTTTTACTCAAGCGTTTCGTGGACAGTCGATACGTCCAAGTAGCTGCGGTTGCACTTTAGGAAGAGGGTCGCCTCAAGCATGATGGGATGCAGTGAAAAACGGTCGAGGCAAATCAAAGCACTCGCCATGCTGAAAAGACGCTCGGCTATGTTTGACGTTGGGGTGACAGCACCAAGGACATAGGTGTCATTCTCGTCGGCCAGGCGCGCACATTTCAGCGCTCTTTCGGCAAATCCAGAATCTTCGTCCGAGGCATCATCCGTGCCATAGTTGCTTCGCAGTGCAGCAACGGCCAACTTCTCAGGCCGAGTGAGCGTGCGACCACGTTGAAGCTTCGTGACGGCATTTTCAAATTTTGAATTGCCAACAATATTTACTGATCCACCTAAGTCTACTAAGTAGAAATATTTCATATATTGTCGTCGGGGAGGGGGTGCAATCGAATCGCGCCGACCAAACCGATCCACAATCGATCTGATTGGTTGAATTTCATTGAGAAGGTTTTGATTGGCTACTAATTTTGAGGTCATCTGTGAGGTAGCCAATCAAATCGATTTAAACTCCAACGAGAAACCACGCCACAACACGAAATTTCACTTGAAAACACAATATACAACTCATGATAACTCATGATATTTTGTACCAATGTGTAATGCTCAAAGCTGGGGAAGTCAACGACAAGAGCATCCAGGAGAGTTCGAACCTCCCACATTGTATATAGCGATGATTAATAACGTCAACGGGGCGTTACGAACTAATACTACAGGTAAGATGTGCTAATGGCTGGCTGCTAAGCAATGTGGTCGGTGTTACTATGTGATAAATTATTTTTTATGCATTGCCAAATCGAGTCAAAATACATATTAATACTAGTAATGCATATTTTTTTCAATTCTCGAAAATACATTATGCATAAAACCCCTAAATATTTAAGTTTTATGCGTTATTTTATTTCGACCCCTGCCTACACACCTCGGCATGGAACCCAAGTGCCGCGGTGAACTCGCAGCGTGTGGTGGCCCCGTCGCTGCCGAATGAACGGTCGTATTTACTACGTCTTAACATTTATTACGCAGGCACTCCTGCTTTTCGTTATATTTGGTTGACATGGAAACTACTAGTAGTACTACAGTACTTCGAACTACAGTATACAGTTCACTGTCAGTTCAAAAATGCTGGCACTCTAATTGTTGTTTTCGCTAACATTTTATTACTGTCGTGTGTTTGGTCCAAAAGCCCGACTCAACAACACCACAAAGTATATATATATAAGTATACGCATATATTGTGGATTCGATACGAATTTCCAGACCCCGAGTCGAATTACGAATCGACGCTATTGGCGCATCCAATTTTGGTTGGATTTGATTGGCTCTTACAGAAACGACAAGTATCGTCAGCCAATCAGAACTTCCACGTGATTCAATATTGATTAGAAAACCATGCGAACTTTTTGAAGTTTATAGCGAATTCACAATATATATGTATACTATATTAATCTTAAGGGCCACTTGTTGAAGTCACCGCCAGTTTGTCTGGAGCGGGGGGGGTGTCTGGCTGCTTGTCGTCGTGGTTGGGCTCGTCAAACGCCGAGTAATGGCTCACGCGGGGCGTGGCCCAAATGTCGTGGCCGCCGTCATCTTCGTGGGGCTTTTCTTGGATGCCAAACGAAGACGCGATCTCGACGTACGTTTTGTGTGACGTCTCCGGCACGACCACAGCGATGAACGTGATGAGCAGCACCAAAATGCCGACAAAGATGAGGAACGCGTAGTTGCCCAAGCTGTCCTCGGAGGCCAGGACGGGGTAGAACACGGCCACGAAGAAGTTGGACACCCATGTGAACATGGTGCCGACCGACCCGGCGTTCGCGTGGAGGTAGTCGGGGAAGAGCTCCGCTGCGACCATCCACGCCATGGGTCCGATGGAGAAGCCCCACGCGGCGATGTACACGCCGACGGAGGTCACGGCGAGCGCGGACCACGAGTTGACGAGCGATAGCACAAGCCCCCCCGACGCGGCCGCCATGACGGACATGCCCGTGATAAGCATGGTCTTGCGCTTGAACTTGTCCATGATCTTCGCAACGACAACGACCGAGATGAGCCGGATGACGTTGATAATCGTGTTGGCGACGCGGGGGTCGGTGATGCCGGCGTTGTTGAAGATCGTGGCCGAGTAGTACATGATAGCGTTCACGCCCGTGATCTGGTGCGACGCGCACACGAGGATGGCGATGATGAGTTGGAGGCGGTACTTCTTGGACACCATGGCGGCCCACGGCTTGACGTCGGCGACCTCCTTCTGCTCTTCTTCGTGCGATGAGACGAGGGCGTTGAGGATGGCCTCGTAGTTGGTTGGTTTGTACAGCTTCTTCATGGCGAGCGCGGCGTCGTCGACGTGGCCCTGCCCGACGAGCCACACAGGGGATTGCACCATGAGCGGCATGAGCACCACTTGGATCGCGCCAAACACGATCGGGCACCCCACCATGAACCGCCACGCGATGTCGCCGGTGCCGATAATGTAATGGGTGGTCGTGACGAAGAGCGACCCGAGGGCCACGCCTACTTGCAGCCCCGTGGAGAACAGCCCGCGCATTTGGCACGGGGAGATCTCGCTGATGAGCACGTTGCTAACGTTGATCACGGTGCCGGTGGCGATCCCTGAGAAGAGGCGCCCGAGGGCAAATACGTACGGGTCTTGGGCGATGGCTTGGACGGCGCCGCCCACGATCATGATGAACGCGTTGAGGAACATGGTCTTCTTGCGACCGAATTTGTCGGCGGGGATGCTGCTGAGGACAGCGCCGAGCGCGGCACCGACGACCCATCCCGTGACGGTCATGGTCCATTCGTTCTTGGAATGACCAGGGAACATGATGCATGTGTCGGGCGCGATGGGAATAGCCGCGCACGTCTTGGCCGAGTGAAACGGAAGGTAGTTGAGTTGCGTGAGCAACCACCCGGTTTGGAACGACCCGATGAGCGCAATCATGACGGAAATGTACAGCGCGGTCGTGGGCAGCAGGGCCTTGGCGTGCTCGGGGTGGATGCGAGACTCGAGCCGCGACAGGCGCTGGCGGGAGGATGTGCGATGCAGACTTCGGTATGACGTTGTGCGGCCGCCGGACTTGGACAACTCGGCGCCTCGAACGCCGCCTTCGGTGATGTCAACGTACACGTCGTCGTCGTCGATTTGTTTGGGCGTGGCGACGGATTCATGTGCGGGTGGGTCCTGGATCGACGAAGTTGGTGCGAGGAGCGCCGGCTCCAGTGGAGGTGGCGCACTGCCAGATAGACCGTCTTGGGCACCCATGACGATGAAGGATGCAGTGGAAAAGTTGAAGACTGCGTAATTCCACCATATATCCTCTGTCCAAATGGCTGTGCACGAGAGACACGCAACGATTTGACTGGCGGTTTCGACCACAAGTTTGACACAAAAACGTGCCAAGTTGGACGTTTAACGTCGAATCGACAGGACATCGTCCCACGGGTGACGTGGCATGTCCTTAGCACCCCTTGCGGCAGTACGCCAGTAGTACTGTAAGCGACTACAACACTGCGACTACTACTAGTGCTTGCATGCAATGGCCATTTTAGCGTGGGCCAGTAGTAAGCTTACTGTACCAGGTACTATTAACAGTAAGGTCAGGTGTGTTTTTTTAGAATCCCAATCAAGTGTACTTTTGTTACTGGAACGCAGGATATCAATATGTACCCGCCGCTCAGAATAGTCGATATATTCGTGGAGGAAGTTTCTCACACGGCAGATGCGCTCGTTTGCGCAAGTCCGTGACGTCCTAACGTTAGCACGACAATTGATAAAAATCGACGTGGACAAGATGTGTAAATGCAGTCGAATTCGGGATACAGTAGTGCTACACCCCAGTGCCGCGGATGGATATCACAATAAATGTGGTTGATCATGGTGGGCACAAATGTACTGACAATGTGCTTCTCGATTTATGTAATGTTAGCATGTAGATTGCATATATTTTGCTTAGCCTGTTCGTGGATATTCAATAACAAAATAAAGAAAAAGAACCGGATCAAAATACATGGATTCTAGTATGCAATGAAGTTAAAATAAATGCATAAAAGTACCTTACGTTGATGCTTCGGTCAAAGTCGGTTTTATGGTGAGATGAGCCAGCGGTCGTACCGACTGCCAGCCAGCACACGGCGCGTGCCTTGTGTCCATCATAGCCAACATCAGCGATGCAGGGAACCCTTGAACGGAGAAGGAGTGTCCATGTGTGTGATGTGTGTTGTAGGTTGAGTAAGTTCTTACCTGGGAGATTCGTGACTTGCTGGTCCTGTGATAAAGACAGGTTTGTTGAAACGGCGTGGTTCCATTTTGTGTTGGATTACTATACCGTGTAGCGTATATAGGTTTAGATAGCCATATACAGATTTGGACACCTCTGTAAAATTGTATAATCCTCTGTAAAATTATAGAGTTGGATTATTACACTTGATTATTGTATGCATTTGGTAATCGACACTATCCGTATCCGGATACTTGCCCCACCACTGTCCAAATCTATATACGTTACACGGTATTACTACTGTGCGTTCTCTACATAATTGCGAGGAAATCTTGTGGCTAGAACGTGACCATATCACCAACACATGCGACAAAGCAACCCTGGAATGCTGAGCTCTGCATGCGACAAGATGTGGCTCAGAACGCATGAGTCACACATACAGCGTGTGCCATGTCATGTCTTTGAATACGTACGTAACGTTAGGCGAAGCTTGTAGTGGGATGTATCGTCAAGTGCCGATGTATCAAACGATTCTGCAGCCCATCACTTGACAGTGTTAACCCTTAGCGTGGTTGTGGGGAATGGCCAGCGATGGTGTACATATGTGCGTTTGTTCATGGTTTAGCCGCCAAGTTGTTGGTGGTGCTGCTTGCCCCACACATCCTCTCGTCATCGATCGTCTGTCGGCGTGGGCTCGTCGATGACAAACGCTCGTTGGATCTCGTAGTACGTCTTGTGATTCGTTTCTGGCACGCAAACGTACGTAAACCCGACCGCGGCGACAAGGAAGGCCGAGAAGACCAAAAACGCGTAGTTGCCGAGGTTGGCCGGGTCTGCCATCTGGGGAAAGTACACAGACACAAAGAAGTTGCTCACCCACGTGAAGAACGTGCCGACGGCGCCGGCGCGGGCGTTGAGGTAGTCAGGGAAGAGCTCGTTCGCGATCATCCACGACATGGGGCCTATGGACAGGCAGTACGCCGACACAAACACCACCAGCACCCCCACGGCGCCATATTGGGCCAGCGAATCCGTTCCATGCACGAGGCACAGCACCAAGCTGCCGCCACACGCCGCCATGGTGGACATGCCCCACAGCAGCAGCGTCCGTCGATTGAACTTGTCCAGCACCTTGGCCGCAAACAGAATGTCGTGCATGCGGGCGGCCGCGACGATCGTGTTGGCGTATCGCGGGTCGTGGATGCCGATGCTGCTGAATATGGATGCCGAGTAGTACATGATGGCGTTGATGCCACAGAGCTGCTGCATGGCACAGAGGACGCACGCAACCGCGAGCTGCTTGCGGTACCTGGCGGTGAAGAGGACCGTCCATCGGCGGCGGGGGGCGGTGAATTCGCTGGTTTCGTCCGTGCGCGCCGCGACCAATTCGGCTAAGATCACGTCCGTGTCGTGCGGAAGGTACAAGTTCACAAGCGAAGTGTGGGCCAGTGCCAGTTTGCCCTTGGCCACGAGCCACACGGGGCTTTCTTGCATGCACGGGAGCAACGCGATCTGCAACAGGCCAATCAAAAGCGGCGCCCCCACGAGAATCCGCCACGTCATTTCTGCCGACGTCATGCCATAATGCACCGTCGTGACGACGAGCACGCCAAATGAAATGCCCACTTGGAGCCCCGTGAGGAAAAATCCCCGCATCCCCAATGGAGTGATTTCGCTGATGAGGACGTTCGAAACGTTGATCGTGCCTCCTGACGCAATACCAGAGATGAAGCGACCTGCGGTTAGCACGTGGATGGTACCCGACGCAGCTTGGACGATTGCCCCGGCGATCATCAAGAGGGCATTCAACGCTAGCCCCTTCTTCCGCCCCAGGACGTCGGCGGGAAGGCCGCTTCCGAGGGCCCCCACGCCGCCCCCGACCACCCACGCCGTCGTTGTCATGACCCATTCGTGGTGCGTGTGGCCACGGAACAGCACGCAGTAGTCGGGGTATTTCTTGTCGATGACTGGCACCGGCAGTTGGCAGATTTGCTTGATGTGGTACTGTTTATAGTTGAGCTCGGACATGAGCCAGCCAAACTGAATTGCCCCCAGCAACGCAATGGCCACGGTGACGTAAAACACCCGCGACGGTTGTAACGCTTTGGATTGGTCTTCATGCAGCATCGAGTCGAGTCGACTCATGCTCTGTGACGACGTGATCCGGCGGTGCTGTCGAAACGAGTGCTGGGGATGGAGCTTGGAGGCCGGTTCGTCGTGTAGTTGGACGTATGCTTCGTCCGCGCATCCAGGCGGCGGGGCTCCAGTTGCGACGACCGAGGCAGGTCCGCCGCCGTGTTGGAGTGCTTGGGATGCCATGGAAATGTAGAAATGCCCACGGAGAGTGTCGTGATTGTGTTGTGCCAAAGCCACGCAAGATGATGCATCAACATGGAACGGGCCAATCAACCATGATGGCAAAAGCATCAGTGCAACACGGCAGCACCACGACGAGTGTGAATGTGTCCACTTGTATATCTTATTGCTGTCTCCAGAATCGAAAGGTCACATCAGTTGCTACACTAAAACCATGGTCATGGGGAGTGTGCTCAGTTCACTTCCGAGGTTGATTTTTACGACAGTACTGACGAAAGTAGTATTTTTGATTATTGTCGATTTGATACAAAATTTGGGGAGGGGGTGCAATCGAATCGCGCCCGACCAAACCGATCCACAATCGATCTGATTGGTTGAATTTCATTGAGAAGGTTTTGATTGGCTAATAATTTTGAGCTCATCTGAGGTAGCCAATCAAATCGATTTAAATTCCAACCAGAAACCTCTCGAAAGCACAATAAGCATTTTGTAATCAATTACAATTGTACTCGGTATTTATTTTTTCACA